TGATTCCTATCTAAAGGCATTTGTAACAGAAATGAAATGCGCCACAGCCACAGTAACTGCACGAAAAACCACAATGCGATCGACAAGAAACAACCGAACGGTCGACCACCGATACCCAAGTGCACCAGGGCATGGATGGCTGACTCACGACGGAATACTCGGAGTGTACTGGAGATCCTAATATGTGATATCCAAAAGTCGCTAATACCGTGTACGACCAAGGTAACTCCCTCGGGAGGTTCATATTGTGCAAACCCTAAATCTAGGCCATACGATGCCAAGTAAAAACTCGATAACCTGCCAAATCAGGGTTTATTAGGTGAAGTTAACGCAACCTTCTTGCTTCACGCTCGGTTTCCAGGAGATTAAGAACGTCTCCTTCACGGATAGGACCTTTGACATTCCTTACGATTGTTCGCTGGCTGTCATCCAAGACTTCCACTCNCCAGTTCTTCCGATTACATTTTTTACCTAAAAAAGCTACGATCGGAAAAAATGTTACGCACACTTACTCTAGCAAGCTTGGGCTGAACAGTACCCTTGTCCATGTTGCAGATTGCACGTGCCGCGAAAAGTAACGTGTGCAGTAAAACAAACAGTCAGGACAGGACAGGACAGGACACTTCACAGGACTTTCGGCTTGAGCCAGTAAGGTAGTCCAGATTCTTGCGTTTACGGGCCACGGGTGTCTCGTAAAGCTACGACAGTGGGTTGATCGGTCCTTGGTGGTGTAATGGTACTGTCGTGGAGCAGGGACGCCAATCCGGTTTGCTGTAGATGAAAGCAGCACCAACCGATCAGTCACAGGCTAACCAGGAGGTCCGAGTACCTCTCCAACAAACAGTATGGAACCCTCAGGCATGCGAAAATAGGTTAAGGTAAGAACAGAAGAGTATGGTAATACGAGGAGGAAGGTGTGGAGAGCTGGATTAAGACAGGAGGAGAAGTAGTCGAAAGTGTAAGGGATGGTATAGTTAGTAAAAGAGAATGTGGGAGGGGGCCTGTTCTGGGGAAAGTTGGAGATGTAGTTACCACCGAGGACTGTCGTTTTTTTCCTTAGGCTGATTCGAGGAAGACTTCGTCCCACACACCATCGAGCCCTTTTTTAAAGAATTCCAACGTGGATACCGAGACAACCTCATCAGGAAGTCTGTTCCAAGCGTTTACGACTATATGAGAGAAGTGGTACGCTCCTCCTCTTTTTAACACCCGAGGTTTGGCCAGTTTCAGCTGGTATCCTCTTAAGGCTGGGTTTTCACTGAGGGAGAACAGTTGCCTGCTAGACTGTGAGAGTCCTTTCAGTATCTTGAAGACCTCTATTTGGTCACCTCTCCTTCGCCTGTGAGAAAGGGAGAACAAGTTTAGCTCTCTCAGGCGCCTCGTGTACGGCAACTTCCTCAAGGCAGGAAAAAGCCTAGTGAAGCGTCTCTGTACCTGTTATAGATCCTTTTGGTCACGTACAAGTATCGGCGCCCATGCCTGCACGCAATACTCGAGGTGGGCGCTCACCAGGGCCTTGTAGAGGGGCAGTAACACTGCAGGGGCCCTAGATGCTACTGCTCTCCTTAGCAAGAACAGCGCCTTGGAAACCTTCGCTGAGGCCTGCTGACACTGTCTTGTAGACAGGAATGAACCATGGATGACGATAC